AACCTCAATGATTAGCAATAATGATAAATATTCCAAATCTGAGGCGAGATCTCCGCGATTTTTTCCGGACGACTCCAGAGAGCATTTCCCATGGTGACAGCCTATAATGATCTTTGGCACCTCGCAGGAGGATTTCGCATTTTGATCCTGAAGATACCTACATATCGCGGAGAGTTCCGTGTTACCTGATGGGAGTCACGGGGAGACGTCTTAACAGACCTGGCAGATGAGTTCTGCCTCCTGGAGCAGAATATAAATCTTGCAGAGGTATTCAGGGCCGTTAGGAACTTGAACGCAAGGATCGGCAATGACACTAATCCGACGATAATCGTGCAGATTATTGTGGGATTCGCAAAGAACATCGGAAAGTACAATATTAATGGTATAAATGTGCCTTGAAGTATGCAATATTAGCATCAACTGTATCAACGATGAGATGCATAGTTTTGTGAATTCTATAAAGGTACAGCCACAGATTGGACATTATTGGGGGAGCTATCCTTATCAAAAATAACATTCTTCACTCGGTGGTTTCGCGAAGGCAATGCTTGATAGAGCGTGTCGGCGTCAGGTTGCTGAGTGGTGAAACCGTTTTCTCAGTGTACCACAGGCCCAGTAAAGGGCTCTCGGAAGAGAGCCTGAAGGATCTGTTCAGTGCTGGGAATAAAGTTATCGTAAGAGAAGATCTAAATGCAAGAAACGTTAATTGAAGGAACGAGGGGAGTAACACCAATGGGAGGGTTTTGATGGGGTATTTGCAGGCTGCAAATTTCTTGCTGGACCACCCTGACACTTCCACGCATTACCCTCTCTATGGAATGATGCCGTCCATAATAGATGTGGTGCTGATGAATAACATGACTCCGGTATCTCCACTTGAAATTGTCAACGAGCTGAGCTCTGATGACCGCCAATGATATATAGTTTTGGAGTTCGACCTCCCCAAGACAAGACATATTTCAAAATAATCATCAATTATAATACCAGTGTCTCAGAATTGAATTCTGAGACACTGAGGTTTTGTGATGCATCAATACATGCCAGAAATTACACTACGAGATTGTTCAGCACCAATGCCGTGAAGGATATCCTCCATCCAGGAGATACTCTTGAACTGATCTCTAAGAAAAATAGGCTGAGAATGCGTTGGCAACGGTTGAAGACCCTTCTAGCAAGGAAGGACTCCAACCGTGTGGCCCAACAAATCGAAACGAAAATAAGAGATTTCATGAATGCTTTCTTGAGGACCAAGTTGGAGACTCTAGATCCTCGCGACAACATTCTTTGGAAGATGATAGAGAGACATTTTTTGGGATTTTCTCTCCTCGTTTCTATAAAATAAAAATATGAATATTATTTCAATATACGTGTAGTAAGGACAAATCAGATGATTTGCCCCAAAATGTCACTGCGTTTAAAGAATGTTTCTATCAGAGAGCCAATTGCGAAGTCGTATAATATGTCTTGAAATAATCTCTTCTCATGTTGGGAACGGGAGCAGAATCGGTCCCGGCTCTCTGATAGGAACATTCTTTAAACGCAGTGACATCTTGGGGCAAATCATCTGATTTGTCCCTACTACACGTATATTGGAATGAAATTCATAGTTTCATTTCATAGAAACGAGGAGAGAAAATTCCAAAAAATCTGGAATAATGAATGTACCACCTCCTCGATTAACCTACAGACAGTATAATAGAGAGGTTGAAAAAATTACCCCTGACCCTTCCTTGGGATGTGGTAGTGGGAAGGCGGTGTCAGAACCTGAGAAGGCGGTGGTGCTTGGGAGACACTCTCAGTCCATGAATAAAATCAATAATAATTCTACAGAAACGGTCCAGGAGGACATATCAGCCATGGCCACCCAAATCAGGACTCTGCCTTCGTCTCGTCGAGTCCTGGGCCAAGCTATATGTAGGCCAAAAGAAATTGGAAACATCATTAGATCTATAAACATCAACAAAGCACCGGGACATGACGGGATATATGTTATTCTCTTGAAAAACTTTCCTTGCAAGGCTCGAGTTCAACTCCATTATTGTCAACACGATAATCGAATACCAGCACTATCTAGTGTGCCTGAGGACTGACCTTGTTGTGCTAATTCCAAAATCAGGCAAGGACCCAAAACGTCCAGGAAGCTATCGCCCCATATCTCTGCATAGTATAGTAGGTAAGATAGTGGATAATGTATTTCTTGGATTGATTGAGGCTCAGGTCGAAGACTTGAACTTGATCCCTGATGAACAATTCGGGTTTCGCAAGGGATATAGCACCACGTCCCAAGTGGCTCGAATTTTCCACGAGGTAGAATATATTTTCAATCAGGACACAAATACAGTTATGGTCATGATGAATGCCGTAAAGGCTCCCAACACCGTCTGGTGAATGACGCTGTTTCTGGGGATTTCCCATTCGAGGCGGGTGTTCTGCAGGGGTCGTGTCTGTCTCCCCTGTTATACTCATCTACACGCATGATTCTATCGTATTCGAGAAGACGAATGCTGTGTGGTATGCTGATGATACAGCGTTGTATGCGCACTCGTTCGACTAGGTAATCGCCAAGACTCAGATCCAGATTGATCTGTAAACAATCCGAAAACTGAAGTAATAACCTTCAGTAGAGAGTTCACGAATAATGTCTCGCGCCAACCTTTGACAGTGAGAGGCACCGAAGTTACCGACGCTTCCGTTGTGGAATACCTGGGAGTGAAGCTGGACAGACGTTCGTCATTCAGGAGTAACTTCCATTTCCTTAATCAGAAAACTCAGGCAGCAATCAAGGGTTTGTGTCCTTTGTTGGCGAGAAATTCAACGCTGACATTGGATAACAAACTCTTGATTTATGAACAGATGATCAGGCCTGTAATGACATATACCTACGCCTGTCCGGTGTTTCGTAGTGCCTCGCCTTCTCGAATTGGTAGGTTACAGGTGCTGCAAAACAAAGTGCTCCGTATCAATACCAATAGTAATCGACATTTCTAATGAATTTTGGAGATTTTATGTTTAGGGAAGTGAACTCACCAAGAGTATCACCTCCATCTATAGAAAGCATGGATTAATATACGAGTCAACCGATGTATTTGAAGAAGACCCGAGTGATCCATAGGATTCTCACTATGAAAATTGAATTTCTCATGATATTTCTTGGACATTGCATGGGCGATGTTCTTGGAAATCATCAAGAAAGACGTGACCCGGTCGTGACATTTATCACGGTGAGGCGCGAGCGTTGCTCTGGCTATATAGGTAGGTTGCCCCAGACGGTCTACTGGCCGATTCTAGAGGTGGCTTATGTATGTGGCCGAAGCGACAGTATGTTTGAAGGGGTTTTTGATGTTCTCATTCTCCCCATGAACCTGCAAATTTCCTCAAACGCCAATGTTTGTATTCAGTCCTTTACCCAACTGGCTGCATCTAAGAGATTTAGTGTCATAACAAGCTTGGCTTCAGGAGATGGGATACATTTGTCAGGACTCTAATCGCAGAACTAAAACCCCACTGGCTGACACCAGTCAACTCCACACTGCGTGGAAGATGATTTTATTCAGACATATTTCATATAGTTGTTTTTATGTTCGAAATTGTCTTTGTATTAGTTGAGAAAAGAAATGAATGAATTCGAAGTGGAAGAACGATTGAATGAACATGACATCCGATGGACCACCAACCAGTCACAACAATGCATGATCAATACTAAAGTGGATTATCACACCCTGTTAGAATACACTTTTTTACGTCTCTTCACCAAATTCCAACGTCATTTTGACGTCATGTCGACGTCAGTTGGATGTCACCGTTAGGTGAGTGACTGACGTCAGTGAAAGTGGAAAATATGATGTCATTGGGCTATGACTTATTCACGTCATTTATTCCGTCATATGACCTCAATCCCTGACGACACCTTGGTCATCCAACTGGCGTCAAAAGTCGTCACTGAGAGCAAATCGGGAATCTGTTTTGGATTGGGTCGATTTCTCAAAACCTGGAGTTCACGCAAGGAATTCTTCATTATTCTCAAAGAATATTATGCGTACCTAGAAAAGACAGGAAGATAAGTTAGGTGTTGATTTATTCACATCTTGTACATTGGGTAAGGTAAGGTTAGGTACCTAGTTAATCAGTACCTCTTGGAGGTTATAGGTTTTCGAAAGTACTTCTCAAGATGAAGAATCCCAACGCTTTCCCATTCTATAGACAAACCAGTTTTGATGTTTGGTTTTTGGCATTATCGACCAGGCGAATGATTTATCTTAGCATGATGTTTGAGTGCTGAGCCACATATATAGGAACAGTATTTTGGACGGTCGAAGAGTCGATTTTGTGATAAATACTACATGATTTTTCCGAAAGAAGTATGACATATGGAGATACTGAACATATATATTGTGGACCTTGTAGAAATAGTGGTACCAAACTTTGTTATATCAAGCTTTGGTGGCGTTGAATTCAACCAGGTTATCTTTTCCCTAGGCAGAAATTCCAGCAAGATATTCATCGAAGGCGATATCGACATGCCTCCATCGTGAGTTTTCAGTTACCTGGGATGGAAAGGAGATTTCTAAAAAAAAACGCAGTATAGAGACTATTGTCATTTGCAGAACTGTGGATAGGGTAGGTGGTTACCCCTAATATAAAACATCAATATGGAGTAGAAACAATGTTGCTGATAGAAGCAGAAATAGGTAGCTGAACCAGATAAGCCATATGATGAAAGTTCTGTGAAGGAGTCCTTGGATGTTTCCTGAGCTTCCTAGATATTCGATAAAATCCATGTTGATGACTTTCTACTTTCTTCATCACTTTGGAAATAACTGTTCACTGCGCTGTTAAAAATGTTCCGTTCTCATAATAGAATCCGATAGAACTATTGAATTTGTAATAGAAATCAATTCTCAGTTGTCGTTTCTGTTCAAAAGTGTTGATTTTGGTCAAATCCCATATACTTATTTTCAATCAACAATATGCAGCAATTAAGTTGATACTTCATTTTCCAGATGTTCGAGGAAATCTTCCACTCTCTCAGCACACTGAATTACATCGTGGTGATAGTGATTTTCATCATCCTGGGATACCGGCCACCATGGTGGAACAGAAAAACAATCGACTGGCTACATAAAGAGATACAGGACATTCCAGGACCTCTGGCCCTTCCTGTTTTGGGGACCAGATGGGTATTCACTTTCGGAGGGTACAGTTTCAACAAAATCCACGAATTTTACGAAGACATGTACAGAAAATACGGACCGATAGTGAGAGAAGAGGCACTCTTCAATGTGCCGGTAATTAGTATATTTGAGAAAGCAGACATTGAAAAGGTTTTGAAAAGTAGCGGAAAATACCCTATAAGGCCTCCGACCGAGGCTATTGCGGAGTACAGAAGAAGTAGGCCGGACAGATATGCTAGTGCGGGCTTGGTTAATGAACAAGGTATGTGAATTGTCAGAAGTATAGCCATGATTTGTTTTCAAGGATGGAAATGGGGAGAAATGTACTGAATGAACTCACTAACGTTTGAAACAATTTCTCATTATATATATTATAATAATTTTTCCATATGAAATGAATCATTCATGTGATTTTCACAAACATAATAAACCATTTGCATCAATTCCTGCGATTGAAGTCGATTTACCACTGTCCTCGATCACCAAGTGATTCAGCTGTCAAATCAGAGATTGTCATTTAGTTAGAGGACCCGCCCATGATTGAATAACTGAAATTCAAATGTTAGAAAGTCTACACGTGTATTACGACATGATTGTTGAAATGTTGGAATGTTCGTGAAAATGTAATTAAATAAAGACAAATTGGTTTGTGGGGATTCGACCCCGCTTAAGAAGCATGCGAAAAAATATATACCTACCTGACACATGAAAAATGTGGATATAGATATAAGAAACTTCTTTTTCTTCACGACAGGGCACAAAAAAGTATACCTACACAGAGTGGATCGAAAATGAATATCGAACAATTGGCATCTTGATGTTAGCCCTCATCAAAAAACCAGTTTCTTTCGTAGAGTGATAAAATAAACTCCGTATTGCTGAAAAACTACGTCATGCTAGTTCGAGCGTGGAAAGAATGGAATAGGAAGGGGAAGCTTGGTAGAATAACTTCTGTTCGCAAGTTTCGTTAGCTGTATAATTTCCTTGATTTTTTTGGGCCCACACAAGAAAATCCTTATTATGTTCGAAAAATTTGGGGGGAGGACATTGAAGAACAGCACTAAAGAAAAATGAATTTATTGAATCGGTACAGACTATGTATCGTCTACGATGTTCCAGAGAAGTGAGCGAGTTTGTGAGCGAGGCATCACCCACGAAACGAATTATGGAAACAGTATTCCAGGACAGGTCGGATCTGTGCCTTATAGATCATGAGCAGCTAATTGGAAGTGAAATAGCTCCTGGCGCGAAACAAAAAACCAAGTTTTTGGGATGCACTTTTAGCAATCGATCTCACTTGATTTTCCCAAGGAAAGTTATTATTATAGTAATACCAAGCATCGAAATGGATGTCTTCAAAGGTATGGTTACTTCTGACAAGGTTATGTTGGGCACAGTGAGATCGGCTTTTCTACAGAAAAGGCATGCTTGTATTTTGTTTGCATCGAAATCTACCGAGTTATTGGATCCCCATTCGAGAATTGTTGCCAAGTCCATATTTATGTTGTCAACATTTGTCCCACGTTCGTTTCTGATTTTCCTGGCTGGTATTGGAGCCCTGGAAAAGAGGGTGTTATGTAGGGTACTATAATTCGCGGAGCTGTGTACAGGACATGGAGTTGCTTCCAACAAACCGTTGATATGAAGTAGGAATGGTGCTAGAATGGATCCTTGCGGAACACCAACCTTTATGATAAGAGAGTTAGATGAAACCCCGTCGACCACTACATGGGGAGATATGTTTGAGAAAACATAGCTGGGGAGGCAAGTCATAAGATGGAAGCTTGGCGAGGAGTCCGTGGCAGACTCGATCGAATGCCTTGGAGATATCGAGTGTCACGGCTTAGGTTTCAGCATATTTTTCAATAGATTGCCCATATATGTAAGACGTAAGCGAGCAGATCACCAGTTGATCTCTGATGACGAAAGCCATATTGCCTATCGTTGATAATACCTGAATGTTACAGGTATTTCATGAACTCGATGTTGATAGCTTTCTCCATGATCTTTGAAATAATAGAAGTAGTTAAGCTAAGAGACCACGACTATAGGCATAGGGAAATACACGCTTTAATCTTAACTGGAACGCGGCCTGTGTTCTAGCGGGGAAGAGGGGTAGCGCTGGCGCGAGCTTATCGAAACCGCAACAATAACACTTTAATGACAATAACAAGATTGAATTTTCATATACAGGGCGTTTGAGTTGATTGAAAATTGAAAAAAATATATACAGGGTGTGTCCCACAGTTCGCGGTCCCATGTTTTAGCATGGAAGAAGTGTTTGAGTTGAAAGAAATATATACAGGGTGTTTGAGTTGATGAAGATTGAAAAAAAATATATACAGGGCGGCCCATGGGGGTAAAAGAATACGAAAACGAAGATAAATAATCTATTCATTTAAGTAATCGTTTTCTACAAAAATGACATGCCTCTTGAGAAGATGGCGGTCCATCCCAGTGTGTGGTCCAATCGGGGCGATTATAATGAACGAAGCATGGCAGTTTAATTTGTAGGTTAAAGTTGCTGCGATATTCTTGAGGAAGTTTGTGCCATATCATTAATAGGTCACAGGGATCTGCATGTTCAATGATACACTCTACTGGAATATAGTGCAATTCTTGTTCGGTGAATTTCAGCAGAGTGGTAGCAGGAGATTTCAGGAACTCTGAGAGCACAGCTATTTCAGATTTATAACAGGGTGTCTCAATACTGGAGAGTGGATTGCTTTCAATATCAATAGAAAGTGGGAAAGTTTTAAAGAGTGAAAATTTCGCTATAATCGACACCAAGCATTGTGTGTGAGAAATGTGGGAAATTCTTGAATAAAACTAACCTATACCACCATATGAGGAATGCCCATAGAGTGGACGCCACCAATTCGAATAACCTAGCTGATTAGCGGATGGCAGTTAATGGATTCAGAAGTCTTCAGATCACACCTATAGAAGTATTCAGAGGTATTCGGAGGTCTTCAGATCACGCATTCAGATGTCTTCAGAGGTATTCAGAGGTATTCAGATGTCTTCAGATCACGCCTTCAGAGGTATTCAGATGTCTTCAGAGGTATTCAGATGTCTTCAGAGGTATTCAGATGTCTTCAGAGGTATATCAGACACCATAGCGTTCACATCATGGAGTCTAAACCACATTCATCAGAGCAAGCATTAGATAAATATCATTGTGCAGATTATGATAATGCTTATGGACCGAGATATGTTGACGGCAGAAGGACACCTGGACATAAGAATCTACGATTTGAGGACCAATACATAGGCGTAGATAATGTCGATTTTGAAAGTACTGTGGGTCTTTTGGAATTATTATTTTCCAAGAACCCTCGAAATTACACGCTTCTGGATCACCAGATGTATAAACAGATGGTAGAAATCAGCTCTATTCATAGAGTTCGATTAGGGCGATTACGAGGGCAAGCTGATAAGGAGAAATTCTATAAAATTACCCTCTTCAAAAATAAGACCAAGCCTAAACGTCCAAAGTCGAGCGTGGAGCCTGAAGCCAGTATTGGGAATGAAGAGTACAATATTTTAGATGAATGGATAGATCAGATAAGAACAACAACGAGATCGCCTTTATTCTTACCGAACTTGCAAATGTTGGTATAATATCTAAAAATAAATGATATCAAAATTATCCGTTTTTTATTCAACACCTGGTAGGCGAGTAGACTCACAATGACTACTCAACTTGGCATACAAGAATATATATTTAAAAATCCTGTATAATGACTGGTAGGTAGTGTGATGAAATCATTGTCCGTTAATTGTAGTCTATAACTCAGCTGATTTAATCATCTATCTAGGCTTTGGAAGAATATGATTTTCTGTATACGCCAAATATAGAACAACCAAGATAACGGCATCATGTTTCAACGCTGCAACTTGAACAACTATTTACACCTAAAACTCATATAACAGCTCAGTGTTTTACCATAGGAGGTATTCTGTAATCGTAGAGTCAGAGGAACAAGGGGATAGCGTTTAGTGCGATGGGATGTAATCCGCAGGAAGCGAAATAGGTATCATGTTTCGGGTGATCTAATATGAAAGCATACCCGATCAGATCCAAAAAAATTCTGTCACATAGAAATCTCATATATTGTAGGCCAATTCTCATCAAATTCCTACAATATTCCTCAGTCTTCAGTCACGTGACCTGATAGATCGTGAAACGTTTACTTGGTCATAACTGCAGAAATATATGTTTCAACTATACGAGGTGTTTTTTGAAATAATCAGGTATATGTATTCAGCACATCGAAATATAATATTCTCATATCAGATACCTTCAAATTCCTCAAATCAACAGGAAATTGCATCCCCGAAAATTGAACAAAAACAGGAAAACATTAAAACAATCTGAATAATTGAACTCAGCACAAAAAATTCATGTAGATGGAACGTTATAGGATTGTTACAGAGTGAAACTATATAGGTGTAAAATTGGTCTCGCCTCATCTATATGTCATTCGATAGTATAAACGTCTCGAGGTTCGAAATTTTCACGCTTATTCCAATACAGCCCAGTATATAAAAAATGTGGTTATAAAGCATTTACTTTTAGCTTTTTTCACCTTAGCAGGCTTAGATTCGATGAAAATCTGAATAATGAATGAAACTAGTGAGAAGACAATTCAGATAAAACAAAAACCACCATTCTCATATCCCCGTACATGATTCTTTGAAAGCACACATCACTACCATCACAAATAATTCACACAAACGGCATTTTTGAAAAACAACGCCATTTAATCGACGAGAAATTTCACATAACGTCCAGGATATGACTGAACAAATATAGAAATAGAAACTTGATAGTCAGCGGGAAACCTGATAACAGCTTCCTATCTTCCAATTAAACGTTGATAATGCATGTTTAGCGGACAAAAAATATATTTTCAACAATATATGAACCACCACGAGGAAAAATATAATATACAGGACGATTAAAAACCTGAATCAGATGAAATATTTGAGAGACGTATGACTTTACATTATAACAATGCAAAGGTTCTCGACTGCGATATCTGAGAACAATATGGTTACCAACGATCTGTGATAGATCCATCAATCAACCATTGAAAATGAATAGTACTCCTAAGGATGAACACGCAAATACATTGATATGTTATCTTGTTATCTTTCATAAAGCTAGTATTGGAACTTCTTGATAATACTGACAATAGATGCGCGAATGGAATACTCTACTTTCTTTACGACATCTTCACAAATGATGCTAGATAG